ATATCAGTTAAAGTGGTAGTTTCATAAGGTCTTTAGCCTCTGCCAAAGAATGCTGGTGCCTCGCCAAACTATAACTCCCAGGATTCTGTAGCATTGAGTCTTGGCAGTTAAAGTGGTGTCATACCACAGTGGGTTAAAGCACTGAGCTGCTGAACTTGTTGACCGAAAGGTTGCAGGTTCGAATCCAGGGAGCGGCGTGAGCTCCCACTGTTATAGCCCCAGCTTCTGCCAGCCTAACAGTTTGAAAACATGCAAATGGGAGTAGATTAATAGTTACCGCTCCGGCGGGAAGGTAATAATAATAATAATAATCTTTGTCGAAGGCTTTCATGGCTGGAATCACTAGGTTCTTGTGGGTTTTTTCGGGCTATAGAGCCATGTTCTAGAGGCATTTCTCCTGACGTTTCGCCTGCATCTATGGCAAGCATCCTCAGAGGTTGTGAGGTGAGGATGCTTGCCATAGATGCAGGCGAAACGTCAGGAGAAATGCCTCTAGAACATGGCTCTATAGCCCGAAAAACCCACAAGAACCTAATAATAATCTTTATTTATACCCCGCCACCATCTCCCTAGTGGGGACTCGGAGCGGCTTACATGAGGCCAAGGCTGAACAACAAGTTACAATAAAAATAAAATCAAAACACAACTGAAAACTCAAACAGTAATCAGCAACATCATAATAAAATAAAACATGTAAATACATAACAATGTAAAGTTACAATAGACGCAATCATGGTAATGGTGCTCCATGCAGTCATGCCGGCCACATGACCTTGGAGGTGTCTACGGACAACGCCGGGTCTTCAGCTTAGAAATTGAGATAACCACACCCCAGAGTCGGACACGACTGGACTTAATGTCAGGGGAAAACCTTTACCTTTACCTTACTGCATTCATTCTACAGTGTAGATGCACCCATTGAGGTTTGCAGCAAAATAATTCATCAACGAAGGCTGTATTCCATACTATGAAATCATGGCAGTTTGGCAACACATTATCATGGCTCAATGCTAAGGCATTTTGGTATTTGTAGTTTTGTGAGAGATTGAGCCTTCTCTGTCACAGGTCTGATGCCACAGCAAACTATACGCCCCAGAGGATGGAGCCGTGACAGTTAAAATGATGTCGAACCCCTATGATTATGCAGTTTGGATAGTCCCTAAGAGTGCATTTACACTGCAGTCTGACATCACTTTAACCCCTATGGCTCAATGCTATGGAATTCTGGGAGTTGTAGTTTGGTGAAAGGTATCAGCACTCTTTGGGAGAGAATGCTAATGACTTTGTAAAACTACAACCCACATAATTGTGTGGCATTGAGTCACAGTAGTTAAAGTGATGTCAAATTGCATTAATTCTACTGTGTAGACACACCCTAAGTCTAGTTCCTCAGATGCATGGAATGAAGTGCCTTGGAACAGTTAGTATGCTTCCAATTTCGTTTTCTTATTTTGTCTCTGAGATGCTACAAGTTGGCCTGGTGCAGTGATTTGAGTGCTGGACTATGGGTGCATCTATACAACAATTATCGCAGCTTGATATGACTTTAACTGCAATGGATCAACACTATGGAACGATGGTGTTGTAGTTTTACAAGGTATTTAGCCTTTTCTGCCCAAGAGAACTGGTGTCTGGCAAAAGGAAAACTAGTATTCCATAGAATTGATCCAGGACAGGTAGTAAAACTGCATTCTTTCTACAGTGTAGAGAAGACATAGGCAAACTTCAACCCTTAAGATGTTTTGGACTTCAACTCCCACAATTCCAAACAGCCAGAAGGAATTATTGAACAGCCTACTGACCCTCCTCTTGTTGAACAGTGGAACTCTCTGCCTCAGAGTGTGATGGAAGCTCTTTCTTTGCATATTTTAAAGCAGAGGCAGGATGGACATCTGTTGGGAGTGCTTTTTTGTGTTTTTCCTGCATGGCAGGGGGTTGGAATGAATGGCAATTGTGGTCTCTTCCAAGTATGATTCTACGTTGGGCGCTGGGATTCTCCCAATTTGGGGACTCAAGACACCCTCCTGGATTACTCCCCTGAAGAAAAACAAATCACTCTCCCTGAACCCACTGTAATAGTTAACCAAATTGGGGACAGGGACTTATCTAATAAAGTTAGTCCTCGAGTTACCATTATTTGACTCACAAACAACTCCTAGTTAAGGATGGTGAGACAACAGGAAGTACGAGAAATCTCCCCCTAGGATGGGAAATTCACTCCTGGAAGAGTTGGGGGGCGGGGGGGGGTCTCCACTGAAGCTTTCTCACCAATCACCAAGCCTTGTTTCCGCAAACAACAACCCATTTTTTTCAAAATCCAATTGTTACAGTGACAGAAAGTGGGGTGACATCTTCTGAACAGGGGCAGAGTAAGCAAAACAATCATCACAAGGGTATTAACCTTTCCCCAAAGGTGTAGAGCAGGTATGGGAAATTTTTGGCCCTCCAGTTATTTTCGACTTCAACTTCCACCATTGCTAACAGCTAGTTAGGGCCAAAGTTTTCCCATGCCCAGTGTAATCACACCCTGCCTGACCTCGGACAAGTCACACTCTCTCAGCCTCTGAGGGCGTCAAAAGCAAAAATAAAAACAAATCAAAAAACAAACCGCTCTGAACAAATTCTGCCAAGGAATTCTGAGAAAACTCCTCTGAACAGATTCATCTACATACATGACTGGAGTTATACTTAAAATGCACTTGTTTCGATTTACATACAAATTCAACTTAAGAACAAATCCATAGAACCTATCTTGTTTGTAACTTGGGGACTGGCCCTATCGGCTGTTAGGAATTAAGGGAGTTGAAGTCCAAAATACCTGGAGGGCCAAAATGTACCCTTTAGGGAATAAGCCCATTGGCTACAATAAGTTGTTGATCCCAATTCAAGATGCAGGCTCTAAGATCAGCCAGAGAGGCTCTCCTCTCACTCCTGCCACCACCACAAGCACAGTGGTGGGGACGAGGGAGAGGGCCTTCTGTTTTGGAAACTGCCCTGAGTCCCCTTGGGAAGATAGGGCGGTATACAAACAAAGATGATGATGATGATGATTATTAATATTATTTGAAACACAACAAGATTAGTACACAGCAAACAAGATCACTCTGCTGGTTGTTGTATTGGATAACATGTCAGACACTTCCCAAGTGTCTAGGACTATGTGATGCATTGGTGAATAATGTGTCAAGATCCCAATAGGGTGGCCTTTTGCAGCTGACATATGGTAATTTTGTCAGCGCCGATTGTGTTTAAGTGCAGGCCAAGGTCTTTAGGCACTGCACCTAGTGTGCCAATCACCACTGTGACCACCTTGACTGGCTTGTGCCGGAGTCTTTGCAGTTTATTATTATTACTAGCTGTCCCCTGCCACGTGTTGCTGTGGCCCAGTCTGTGTATATGTTTTGTGTGTGTATATATGTGTGTATATATTTGTGTATATGTGTATGCATATATATGTGGTTTCACGCATGCATTGTAATGTATTTTTTTAAATTTTTGGGCTTTTTTTAGTTTTTTCTGCGGCGTTTTTCAGTGTTTTTATGAGTGATGGTCACTCGATGGCCTGATAGGTGTATTGTGTCCAAATTTGGTGTCAATTTGTCCAGTGGTTTTTATATATTTATTTATATAAATTATGGAGCCCCCAGTGGTGCTGTGAGTTAAACCCTTGTGCCAGCAGGACTGAAGACCGATAGGTTGCAGGTTCAAATCCGGGGAGAGCGTGGGTGAGCTCCATCTGTTAGCTCCAGCTCCCCCTGCAGGGACATGAGAGAAACCTACAAGGATGGTAAAACATCAAAAACATCTGGGTGTCCCTTGGGCAATGTCCTTGCAGACGGCCAATTCTCTCACACCAGAAGTGACTTGTAGTTTCTCAAGTTGCTCCCGACATGAAAAGAAAATTATTATTATTATTATCATCATCATTATCATTATCTCTGAGAACCCCCGGTGGGTGCAATGGGTTAAACTCTTGTGCCGGTAGGATTGCTGACCGAAAGGTCGGCGGTTCGAATCCAGGGAGCGGGATGAGCACACACCTGTCAGCTCCAACTTCTCATGCTGAGACATGAGAGAAGCCTCCCATGGGATGGTAAAACATCTGGGTGTCCCCTGGACAACATCCTTGCAGACGGCCAATTCTCTCACACCAGAAGTGACTTGCAGTTTCTCAAGTCATTCCTGATATGGAAAAAAAATCATTATTATTATTATCATTATCTCTGGGATCCCCTGGTGGATGCAATGGGTTAAACTCTTGTGCCGGCAGGACTGCTGACTGAAAGGTCGGCGGATCGAATCCGGGGAGCGGGATGAGCTTCCATCTGTCAGGCACTATAAGAGGGTTTTGTGAGACCAGCCGCTCTTGTTGGAACTGTGTAGTAACGGTGAGACTGTGGACCATATTTTTGTTTTTGCGGACCACAGGTTGGGAACAACTGGGTTAAACCCTTGTGCCGGCAGGACTGCTGGGCAAAAAGTCAGCGGTTTGAATCTGGGGAACGGGGTGAGCTCCCGTCTGTCAGTTCCAGCTTCTCATGCGGGGACATGAGAGAAGCCTCCCACAGGATGGTAAAACATTTAGGCGTCCTCCGGGCAATGTCTTTGTAGACGTCCAATTCTCTCACACCAGAAGCGACTTGCAGTTTCTCAAGTTGCTCCTGATAAGAAAAAAATTATCTCGGGGGGGGGGGGGCTCCCTTTACATTGTCATATAATCCAGATTGTCAAAGCAGATAATCCACATGATCTGCTTTGAACGGAGTCTACACTGGCACCGACTCCAGCTCCAAGCAGATGATCTGGGTTGTGTCTGGCAGCGTGGAAGGGGCCCAAGTCCCCCGAAGGCCCTCTCCCCTCCTGGCCTTCATGAGCTGGCCTTTTCCAGTAAATGCATCCCGTTTCCTCCCAGCCTCCCTCCCCCTCCGCGTCCTGCCCGAGGCAGAAAGACTCCCCCTCAGTGTTTGTGGGCGAGAGAGGGAGAGGGGCCAGTCCCTCCAGGGTCGGAGCCGAGGAAGGTGCCCTCCTCCTCCTCCTCCTCTTCCCTCTGCGCCGGTGAAGGAGGCTGTCCCTCCGGGCGGGGAGGCAGGCAGGCAGGCAGGGAGGGCGGGCGCTGGCTCCTTCTCTCCTTCCCTCCCTCTTTCCCTCCTTCTTTCTCTCTCTCTCTCTCTCCCTTCCCAACTTTCTGCTCCTCCCTCCCTCCCTCCCTCCCTCCCTCCTTCCTTCCTTCGCGCAAAACTTTCCCGACGCTCTCGCTCGGCGCCCGGCTCCGCTCCTCTCCGGAGACAACAAGCCTCTTTCGGCGGACCGCCTGCTTTTTGGCCCGGGTCTCCCTCTTCTCCACCCCCCGCCTTGTCAGCTCCTTCACAGAACCGGACCCGAACCTTGACGGCGAGGCCCCGCTCCCTCTTCAACAGGCGAAGTGAGTAAGTCGAAGGAGTGAAGGAGCGCACAAACAAGCGCTTCTCTCTCGCAGCCCGGCCTTGGGCAGCCCTTCCCTCCCTATTGCGCACTCCTGAAAGACCCCCCTCCTCAGTTTCACAAAGGGGTGGGAGGGGGAGAGAGGGAGGGAGGGAGAGGGCCTTTCCCCGCCCCCTCCTTCTCTCCACATACTTGGCCTCCCCCGGACCCAGACCGCAACCTCAGCCCTTCTCCCTCTCCCTCTCTCTCTCTTTCTCAACTTCCTTCCCAAATAGTTGGTCTCATGTAAGGCAGAGAAGGGAGAGACCCCTCTTTTCTTTCCCTTTTGGCCCTGCCTTGTTGTTCCCTATCCAGGAAACTTCTTGATCCAACTCCTCTTCAAGCTTCTCTCCCTTCAACCCAAATATTATATCTTTTCTTCTTGTGCCTCTTTGGGGCAGGGGGGGGGGGGTGACATCCTCCAGGCCCTTCCAGACAGGCCCTATCTCCCAGGATCTGATTCCAACAGACCTCACAACCTCTGAGGATGCCTGCCATAGATGCAGGTGAAACATCAGGAGAGAATGCTTCTGGAACATGTCCATACAGCCCGGAAAACTCACAACAACATTCTTCAGGCCCTTCCAGACAGGCCTTATTTCCCAGCATCTGATCCCAGGTTTTCTGCTTTACACTGGATTATATGAGTCCGCACTGCCAGATAAACCTGGGATCAGATCCTAGGATATAGGGCCTGACTGGAAGGGCTCTCCTTTGGGGTACAAGCTTCTCTCCTCTCACTCAGATTTTGGGGAGAAGCCTAATGTGTTGTCCAACACTTTCATGGCTGGAATCATTGGGTTGCTCTTAATTTTCCAGGCTACATCGCCATGTTCCAGAAGCATTATCTCCTGACGTTTCGCCTGCATCTATGGGAGGCATCCTCAGAGGTTGTGAGGTCTACCTAGTTTCCAACAGACCTCACAACCTCTGGGGATGCCTGCCATAAATGCAGGTAAAACGTCAGGAGAGAATGCTTCTGGAACATGTCCATACAGCCCAGAAAACTCACAACAACATTCTCCAGGCCCTTCCAGGCAGGCCTTATTTCCCAGGATCTGATTCCAGGTTTTCTACTTTACACCGGATTATATGAGTTCACACTGCCAGATAAGCAAAGCTTAGGATCAGATCTTAGGATATATGGCCTGTCTGGAAGGGCTCTTCTTCTCTCACTCAGATTTTGGTGAGAAGGCTAATGTAATGTCAAGGCCGGAGTCACTGGGTTGCTGTGAGTTTCCCAGGCTGTATGGCTCTGTTCTGGAAGCATTCTCTCCTGACATTTCACCCACATCTATGGCAGGCATCCTCAGGTTGTGAGGTCTACCTGGTTTCCAACAAACCTGACTGCCACAGATACAGGTGAAATGTCAGGAGAGAATGCTTCTGGAACAAGGCCATACAGCCCAGAAAACTCACAACAACCCAGAGAAGCCTAATGTTTTTCAAAAAAATATATACTTTCTCCTTGCTCCTTATCCATGAAACTTTATTTCTGGAGTTTAAGCTTCCCTCCCCTCATCCAAGTTTTGAAGAGAAGCCTACTGTGTTAAAAAATACCGGGATTGTATACTTTCTTATTACTCGTCATCTAGACAAATTCTTGGGGTAACCCTCTCTCTTGGGGTACAAGGTTCTCTCTCCTCAGCAAGTTTTGAAACCCAAGGTTTTTCCAAAACAATATCATATTCTTTATTGTTGCGCCTTCTTTATGAAACTTTCTGGAGTTGCTCTTTTTTTAGTACACTAAATAATAATAATAATAATAATAATAATAATAATAATATATTTATATTCTGCCCTATCTCCTCAGGGGGACTCAGGGTGGAATCCAACATACAACAGCAAATATTCAATGCCTCATAAAGCACACAACTAGCAATATTATAATACCACCKCCCCCCCCCCCCCAAAAACCCCACATATGAAAACAACATTAGAACCCAACATATATAGGTTAAACTAAACTACAAACTTCTCTCCCCTTGCTAAGCTTTGCGGAACAGCCCAAGGCCCTAAAAATATGATATATTTTCCACTTCAATCAGAGATATGTTGAAGTTGTGTTTTTCCCCTTGTTCTCTTGACTCTTGAAGGCCTGTGATTCGGATTAATGTATTTATTGTGTTGTTGAGGGCTTTAATGGCCGGAATCACTGGGTTGCTGTGAGTTTTCCAGGCTGTATGGCCAGGTTCCAGAAACATTCTCTCCTGACGTTTCACCCACATCTATGGCAGGCATCCTCAGAGGTAGAGGAGGTCTGTTGATCCCTTTACCTCTGAGGATTCCTGCCATAGACGTGAGCGAAACGTCAGGAGAGAATGCTTCCGGAACATGGCCATACAGCCCAGAAAACTCATAGCAACCCATGTCTTTATTACGTTTTTTACTTTGATATTTTGGGGGTCGTTCCTAGCCTTTTGGTGTTTAACCCAGATTTTCTGTCGTATATGACGATAGTTGTGACTACTTTCCCCCTTTCCTTCTGAAGTTTTAAGACTTTGTTTCACAAACTTTTTATCCTTCTGGTGTGTAATCCAGACTTTCCGTCGTATATAGAGAAAGGTGTGATTTCCTCTCTTTCTTCTGAAGTTTTACGACTTTGCTTCACAAAAGTTTAGTTTTTTTGAAAAGTTTTTTTTTTATTATGATGGATGTAGGAGGGGATATCGTTTTTCAAAAATCTTTTGGTGTGTTTACTGGCAATTTGTGCCTGGGCCATCGGGCCACCGTGTTGACAACTCAGGGATTGCACAAACACATTTCCTCAATTAATTACCTTTTGTATGGGAGATTTGCGTAATGCTCTGTTTCTCATTCCATGGTCACGTGGATGACGACAAACACTTTTGTAGATTCATGTGCCTCTAAATGTATATACGGAAAGCTACAATTTGAAATGACAATAGTATTGGTATGACAGTGGTCAGGGTTAACCAATGCTGTATTCTATTTGGGAGAAATAGAGATGTTTTTGGAAAGTTTGTGTTGCTAGCATCCATAGTAGAGGAGTACTTTACTCTTGAAGCACCTTCTTATTTCTGAAAGTGCATCTGTAGCTGTACTATAGAAAAGTGTGTATCTATATCAGGCATGGGCAAACTTCTGCCTTCCGGGTGCTTTGGACTTCAACTCCCACCATTCCTAACAGCCTCAGGCTCTTTCCGCTTAAGCGGCTGAGGGGGAAAAGGAAAGGGCCTGAGGCTGTTAGGAATGATGGGAGTTGAAGTCCAAAACACCTGGAGGGCCAAAGTTGCCCAAGGCTGATCTATACTGTATAATTTATTCAGTTTGCCATTACCTTAACTGCCATAGGTCAGTGCTATGGAATCATGGGAGTTGTAGTTTGACCAGACACCAGCCCTCTTTGGCAAAGAAGGTGAAGACCTTGTAAAACAGCATCTTCCGTGATTCCATCTCATGGAACTGTTGCAATTAACTGGTTGTCAGCCTGCATTAATTCTGTAGTGCGTAAATGCATCCTAAGTCAGTTGGATAGTTTGAAGGATAGAATGTTTTAGAAGCAGGCATTTCCCTGTTTTGTATGAACTTACATATGAACGGGCTAGGAAGGGATTACTGAGGGAAACCACACATTCCAGTGGGACTGGGACATCCTTTTGCAAATGAGGACAAGGCATTATTGAGATAGGCTTCTTTTTTTTTTCAAAGAGGGAAAATGTTTTGTACTGGATGCTACTTTTTCATGGAGAGACTTTACAGCCAAGTTGCTGTTCAGTCACAGCCGTGCAGGGTTGGATCTATGGTTAATCACATGGACCCAAACATGTAAGAGCTTGCTCCAATCCGGAAACAACTGTCTTGAAAAATAGCACCTAAATCGCACTTTGTGTTGCTGAGCAGAATCACAGCTTCCAACGCTACTGCTTTGGAGGGGTCCATTGTCTTCAGGCAATGCCTTCAAGACCTATTTAAGCAAGTTTAAAAAATGGGATGTAAAAAAAAAAAAAAAGCAGTACCCTTCCAAGGCCTTCAGGTCAGTGATATATTTAATTTCTCTACTTTTCACATGGAGGAACTAAAGTAGGGATTTTTTTCTGTGTCAGGAGTGACTTGAGAAACTGCAAGTCACTTCTGGTGTGAGAGAGTTGACTGTCTGCAGGGGATGCCAGGATGTTTTACTATCCTGTGGGAAGCTTCTCTCGTGTCTTCACGACAAGCTGGAGCTGACAGATGGGAGCTCACCCCACTTCCTGGATTCAAACCGCTGACCTTTTGGTCAGCGGTTCTGTCAGCACAGGGGTTTAACCCCCGTGGTACATGGATCACCAGTGGTCCACAAGAACTAAAATATGGTCCACAGCCTCACCATTACTGTTGCAATGAGAGCGACTGGTCTTGCAAAACCCTCTTATAGTGCTGAGGATTATTAAATATGGTTTTATGTGGTCTGTATGTGGCACTTGGAGTGCTTCTGTGAGTCGCCCCGGGTCCCTTTGGAGAAATGGTGGCAGGGTACAAATAAAAAATTATTATTGTTATTTATCACTGGATGGTATATTTCTGTATCAGAAACTAGAGCTGATGTGGTCTATCCAATGCAATTTTCTGAATCAGAACCCCAAATAACTGAACCAAATCTAAAGTTGACCAAAAACCAATTTTAATCCTTTTGATACTAATGTTGGAGAGTGGTCCCTGATCAAAGTGGCCCCTGGTCAGGTGGTCCCTGGTCAAAAAAGTTTGGGAACCATTGGTTTAATCTATTGTGCCACCAGGGGCAAGGGGTGATGAGCCATGTTTCATCTTTTCCAGTGAGATACATACACCAACTGAAAAGAAGCTGGACTAAAATTCCCAAATCAGGGCAAATTTACTAAGGCTGCAGTCCCTTATACAGTGATCTGAGAGTAAACAGCAAGGCTTACGGTATTTCTGAGAACCTGTCTTTTTTATCTACAGGTTCTATAGTCATTCCTTCAACCATCCAAGATTTGATTTGGAT